GAAGAAGAAGAAGAAGTTATATAATGACCAAGGAAAATAAAAGGCTGGATCTAGATGATGGAGAGAGAAAGGATTCATGACAAAAACAGAGCATTTCTCTCATTTTCCCCTCCTTTACATGTGTTTGTCTTCTTTCATTAGATACTGGAGTATCTGAAAATGTGTCACTGAATGTTCCTTCAGATGTGGTTGAAGGATCTCCCAGGGCAACATACTCAGTTTTGGGTGAGTCTTTCAGCCCAAGGGAAGCAGCTTTCTAGCTCTATAATTCTAGTGCATGGGCCTCACCAACCATGATTAATGAGGTCTCTGACAAGAGGCACTGAATTGAGAGAAAGCACTAAGTTAGGGGTTATACTATGTTACAGTTGGAAAGGGGGTTGAATAGATATTGTTCTACATGTTATGCCTTGATATACTCTAAAAGGAAAGGGTCACCTCTCTGGGCCCTGATCTTCAAGCAATTTACTAGGTGGTAATGCTTCCTAGTCAATTTGAAAATGGTTGTGGTTGAGTTTTACCAGGCATGTGGAGCATGAGAAAAGACAGATCACCTACCATTCAGTCTCTTCCCTGCTTTCTCCATCCTTGAACCATCTACTTTATTTTCTCACCTTTTGTTTTCCTCCATATTTCTTGTTTTTTTACTTTTTAGAGTCTTCTTGTCCTTCCCTATACAGGTCATTTGGCCTCGCAGTCAGCTAACAATCTGTTTTCCTAGCCCAATACCAACCATCTCTGATTTCTTTACAACTTTTACTCCATAGGTGATATACTAGGCTCTGTGGTACAAAACCTTCAGAACCTTCTCCAGATGCCCTATGGTTGTGGAGAGCAGAATATGGTCCTTTTTGTTCCCAACATTTATGTTCTGAACTATCTGAGTACAACACGACAGCTGACAGAGGAGATCAAGGCCAAAGCCATCAACTACCTCATCAGTGGTGAGAGATTACCTCAAAAGGAAGACCCTTAATCTCTTAAACATTTCATGGTGAACTAAAATCAACATCTCTTTCATTAAGATTTGATAATCGTTGTTGTGAATTTCAATACAATGTCCCAATATACAAGTAGAAAATTCAATAGTATCATCAAGCCTGTGATTGGGGGTTGGGAGAAATTTTAATTAAATATTAGTTACTCCTAATTAGTTATTCCTAACAGCACTGAGAAAAAAAGCTTAACAATCCTCCAATGTCTTTGCCATTTTGATAAATCTGTGAACGCTTCCTCTTCAGGGTACCAAAGGCAATTGAATTATAGGCACATAGATGGTTCCTACAGCACCTTTGGGGAACATGATGGTAGAAGCGAAGGAAACACTTGGTGAGTTTCTTCTCTCCCTATGCTTTCTCTAGATCCGTGACATTCCAGGATTCTAGAAATAGCTACTCTCTAATATCTGGGGTTTTTGTGGAAAATTGTTAGTCTTTAAATAACACATGTGCTGTATGTATCATTGCTGTTGGGTAATCTCACCATGACATCTCTGAAAGCTTACCTGCTGTGATAACACAGCTGCCAGTGGTGAAATAAGGATCTTCTCAATGGAAATACAAGGCAGAAATGTCATTCTATAAAATGACAGAGGAAGAGGCTTCCACACTCTGCATTAAAGAAGGAGAGAAGGGAGAGGACAGAAGGAGGCTGTGATGCAGGAAAATCAGAACAAATCATTCTGGAAATGCAGTTTTGATGGTGGGGAGGCCTGGAGGCTCCAACAAATGTTTCATAACAAAAAATTTAAAAAGAATCAACTCAGAGAAACCAATAAAGTTGAGTGGTAATAAAGATATTGAGATGTTTGTTGGACTAGAGTATGTTCAGCTCTTAGATACTATTTCCCCATCAATTCCTCCCAGTGATCTTCTCTGCTTAATTGTGAAGAACAATGTCTGGAGGCAGTAGGCAAAGTCAGCTGTGGAAATGAGGTGGTCCTCACGTCTGTGTCTCTGTTTTGCTGACAGGCTCACTGCATTTGTGCTCAAGTCCTTTGCTCAAGCCCGATCGTACATCTTTGTGGATGACTTAGACTTCAGGGATGCCTTCAAGTGGCTCTCAGAGAGACAAAAGGAAAATGGCTGTTTCCAACACTCTGGATCACTGCTGAATAACGCTATTATGGTGATGCCTTTTCTATTTCTGTTCTGGTCCCTGAAGATAATGATATGTGGGAGGAAATGAGGTCTGAATTGAGTCCTCCAGTCTTAGTGACATAGATTTCAGGAAGAATGGTGGACTCTAAATCTCCTGAAATCTAGCAGTCCCTTAGTAGTTTTACATTAAATGAAAATGGTGTTCAAAAAAACTCCAAAGCCAAACACATTATAAAAAGTGAGGGCCCGGCGTGGTGGTTCAAGTCCGTAATCCCAGCACTTTGGGAGGCCGAGGCGGGCAGATCACGAGGTCAAGAGATCGAGACTATCCTGGCCAACATGGTGAAACCCGTCTCTACTAAAAATACAAAAATTAGCTGGGCATGGTGGCGTGCACCTGTAGTCTCAGCTACTCGGGAGGCTGAGGCAGGAGAATTGCTTGAACCCAGGAGGCGGAGGCTGCAGTGAGCCAAGATCGTGCCACTGCAGTCTAGCCTGGTGCCTGGCAACAGAGTGAGACTCTGTTTCCAAAAAAAAAAAAAAAAAAAGTGAGAATTTTAGGGTAGAGGAGGAAGAGGAGAAAATCAACATTCTAGCATAAGACACAAACCATCTGGTGAAGATGTCAAAGGGAAAGGAAGTTTTAGCAGGTGCTGCCTCATGACTGTTGAAGTGTTTGAGTCTCTCTGCCTCTGATTCCTACAGGGTGGGGTGGACGATGAGGTGACACTCTCTGCCTACATCACCATTGCTCTGCTGGAGATGAAACTGCCTGCCACGGTATGTTCACACCCTCCCCTGTACTACCTTCACACGAGTAAAGAACAAAATTATGGTATGATGGATCCCTGAGGGAAATTAATTGTGATTTTTATGGAATTTAATTTTGGCATATTTCACTGGAATGTAAAGGACCAGATCCTTTTGGAAGCAGCAGAGGAAACTCCTCTCTGGTCAGAACTGTGAGGTTACACAGGCACATTAGGGTTTTTGATCTACAGTTAGCCTGGGGAAGCTCATTCACCTGGTTCTGCTATTTTACAATAGCCTTTCATCTTCTCCATAGAGCCAAAGTGTCAGTAGGGCCCTATTCTGCCTTGAAACGGCCTGGAGATCCGCCTCAGAGGCCCAGGGAAGTCTCGTCTATACCAAAGCATTATTGGCCTACGCCTTTGCCCTAGCAGGAAACCAGGTCAAGCGAAGAGAGCTGCTTGAATCATTAAACAGAGACGCTGTGAAAGAAGGTGAGAGATGCTCCTGCAAAGTTTACTTCTAACAACCACCGGTTACCAGAAGGGAAGATCCCTCTACTGAGCTCATGCCTGTCATGCTACCTTACTTTAGTGACAGTGAGAATCATTATCATTGACCTAAGACTGGATAACATGGATCATTTGAGTAATCCACACAGCATAGACTCTATACAGCCCCAGCTTCTAATCACACACATGTAACAGACACTCGGGCTCAATGTTATTCTCTGCAACTTTACTTTCTTGGCAAAGATTTATTTGATGGTGACTAATGCTTTCATTTTATTTAATGCTTTCACTTCGTTAAAATGAAAGGTCAATTTATTAGGTAAGCTGTAATTATAATCATTACTCATGGATTAGATTTTGAAACAATTCTTTAAGCTCAAAATTCTATCCGTTTCCATGTCAAAGAGGATTCAATCCACTGGCAACATCCTGGGAAACTTCGAGAAGCTGAGACACTCCATTCTCAATCCCGGGCTCCCTCTGTGGAAGTGGAGACGGCATCTTACGTGCTCCTTGCCTATGTTACCGTCCAGCCTGCCCCGTCTCCAGAGGACCTGTCTGTGGCATCACGTATTGTCAAGTGGATTACCAAGCAGCGAAACCCCCATGGGGGCTTCTCCTCCACTCAGGTCTGTGGCGAGACTCTGGAAGGAAACAAAAATATATTAACAAATATGAAGACACAGCCATCTCCTAGGAGTTGAATAGTGGAATACTCCGTATCTCTAATTCACACCTTCTCCATCCCTCCACTGGCAGACAAGTTTCAGCCTTACTGTCTTAGAAACGGGTTACTGCTCTGTCCTCTCTATATTCTCTCCTAACTCTCTAGTGGACCCCCAGCCACACAGGTAGGTTTGTCTTCACAAAGCAATGTCTTCAAGGGGTTACTTCCCTTAGAAAATAAATCTTCGTTTTCACCCAAAGCCTAAAATTATCTGGTGTTTTATCCAAAATATTTTCTCTCCCCAGTAAACACAAGTGCACCAACCTAATGAGCAGATGCCTTTGCTTGTTCCAGAACTGGCTCACTGCAGTTTGCATGACCTCACATAGAGCATTCCCCACCCTGATGCCTCTCTTCTGTCTACAGAAACCCTGCTCATTATTCAGAGATAATCCTATTTCTCACCCTCTTCAGTCTTCTCTTACTGTTCTAACCCATACTTTCTTCTCTCTTTTCTGAACTTTTATAACAAATATTGTTACATAAATTTATAAATTATTGAAATAGCCTGGGCTTGTGTCAAATATCTGAGTCTTATCTCCATATGTATATTGTAAACTAGCTGAATGATGAAACTTTGTATAAATTTACCTTCAAAGTACCTAGAATAGTTTGTCATTACTAACCAGATTGAACTGAATTGAAATAGAGTTAGTCGACTGTGTTTATGACTAAATAATTCTGAAAAATAATAGTGTTGTTGTGGTTTACATCCAGTGTGAGTTTGTTACTTTCCTCTCCTGTGATTTCTATACCCATTATTTTTTCAGGACACAGTGGTGGCTCTTCAAGCCCTCTCCGAATATGGAAAAGCAACTTTCACCAACAGTGAGAAAGCAGCTTTGGTTACTGTCAAATCTTCAGACACCTTCTCTAAAGACTTCCAAGTAGATGAC